ATCGTCGTCCAATTATGCATTTCCGGTGGCACGCTCTTTGATTCGTCATTGTCTAAAACGCGTTGATTATCGAAACTAATGTTTCCTACAAGTTAACCGGCCATAACGAGTAATCTGTTGAACGAAACATCCCGCAGCGTTACGTCTCGTGATCCCGATACGTATCCTCTAAAAGGCTCTATCTAATGTTCTTCGCGTCGGTCACGAGACTCGCCGAAAACGAAATAGACCGAACAAGAGGTGTTCAATAGAGGCTTCGAAAAAGAAGATTGCTCGCTAAGTGGACGCGTCCTCCGTTTGGCGAAAATTATACCTGTAACATTATTGCAAAATCGAGTCAATTTGGACGACAAGCCATTACGAAGAAGCACGCGAGACGATTAGATCGGCCTTTTCGACGAATCCGACATGGTTTGCGGTTCGATCGTTGTTCGGCTACCGGTGTTCCGTCGGTATCTCGTCGGAACGAGGCAGACCGCAGAACTCTGTGCGCTGCCAAGCTCCTCTTTCTGCGTTCGCGCCGGCCAAATGTTCGCTGCAAACCTGTCATTTCGCGTCACGAGCATAACCGGCGACCTAATAGACACCGATCAAAGATGGCAGACACAATGGCCGCGAATTCCCGCGGGCGCACGATTCTAGCCTCTTCGAGTACACGCTTTTAGCCGGCCTAAACCGTCCTTCATTTCGTTAAACGTTGACACGCGATTCTTCCACGGAGGCGGGCGATCGCGCGGCACGTTAAACGCCATTTGCTCGACCCTAATCGGACCAGAGCTTTTGTCCTCTGGTCTTTTTGCTTCGGATAAATATACCCTTTGAACTCGGTCAGTTTCTCGAACCGGTTCGATCCCCACGGTTTCCTTTCAGCGCGTCGCTACCAAAGGATCTACGAAACCGCTAACGAGCATCGTCCCGCTGCTCTTTCGAAGCGTTTCCGTCCTTTCGAGCAAATCGTTCGCCGATTAGAGGTAGCGGCTTCGCGACACGATACGGAATTCGCGTTGGACCACCGAGCAAACAGCGTGTCAGTCAAGTCGGACGGTTAGTCGACGAACGAGCGTGGTCTTTGTTGATCGGGGTGCATGCGTAATAAGGTAGACGCGCCGTATCCTCGCACCCTTTTTTTCCTCCCCGTATTCCTCTCCAACTGTTCTCGTCTTCGGTGTATCCCTCCTACGATCCCTCGCTATACGCCACCCTTCCTTCGCGGCGCGAACGAAGGCGGGCTGACGCGATCAGCCCTCTCCTTTGCCACCGTGCGTCCACCAAATCCTCCCGCAAATACGCTGCCAACCGAACACAACTGTTCCGGCTTATAGCTGCCTAAACGCGACCCGATGGTTCGATCGCGCGATGCAAATTAGATTCGAATTCGATACGATACGGACCGACTTTGCTCGACGCAGCTTCCGTTCGTTTCCAAACACCACAGAGTTACCAATTACTCCCTTCTATAGAAATATCCGTTTCTTTTTCTCTTTTTTCAAAATTTCAGTCGTTAGAACATTTGAGGTAATGGCCCTCTTTTCGTACTCTGGCGACCAATATCGGTTCGCGCGTTACGAATTTTCCACGTATATTTATAGCAGCAAATACCTGCTTCGTAACGATTCGAAAGCGAAGCGCTAGTTACGGAACCGAGGCAGGATGACTTCGCGTCGATCTCCACGAAAGGAAAATTTGACGCGTTTCAAAGAAGATACGGGATGACAAAGGACGGTCAGCTGACTTTGACCGTATTCTAGCTGCGGGAACATTGTGTCGAGCTGGACGATCGCGTCGATTCGATGAATGAGCTTTCTTCTCGTCGTTACATGGTCGTTCGACCGTTGTTTGGACAAAACCGAGTAACCGAGCGGGGAATCGTCGAGCAAACACAGAAAAGTAAACGGTAAGCTGTCAAGGGATGTCACGAGTCGACCGAGATTCGCTCCGAAACGTCGACTACCGCTTCGAGTCACGTATTTTGCCATCTTTTTGCTGGGTATTCCTTTCGTTCTGGAGTCGAACGAAACCTTTGCCAGACGAGTGAAATAAAGGGACGCAAAAAGGAAGGGGAGCGGTAATCTTTCGAAATTTTATTACGAGCAATTTCTTTGATCACGGGAAACATTACGCGCACGTGCGAATGCGCGCCACTTTCGAATCGGCGAATTAATGTTAATTTTTTTAATCGTCGCGCTACTTTGCATAGCGTATACTTACGATTTACGATTACGTGAAATTTGTTCGCGCAGCGGGTTTATTTATTTCGTAATAAATTAGAAACGATGCGTGAACGTTATCGATGCCTTCTACCAATTTATCGGTTTTCACTGGGCTCGTTAAAAGAGTTTCAGTTTTCGGAGCTCTAAATTTCGTAGCGGGAAGTTAGATTCGAATTCGATACGATACGGACCGACTTTGCTCGACGCAGCTTCCGTTCGTTTCCAAACACCACAGAGTTACCAATTACTCCCTTCTATAGAAATATCCGTTTCTTTTTCTCTTTTTTCAAAATTTCAGTCGTTAGAACATTTGAGGTAATGGCCCTCTTTTCGTACTCTGGCGACCAATATCGGTTCGCGCGTTACGAATTTTCCACGTATATTTATAGCAGCAAATACCTGCTTCGTAACGATTCGAAAGCGAAGCGCTAGTTACGGAACCGAGGCAGGATGACTTCGCGTCGATCTCCACGAAAGGAAAATTTGACGCGTTTCAAAGAAGATACGGGATGACAAAGGACGGTCAGCTGACTTTGACCGTATTCTAGCTGCGGGAACATTGTGTCGAGCTGGACGATCGCGTCGATTCGATGAATGAGCTTTCTTCTCGTCGTTACATGGTCGTTCGACCGTTGTTTGGACAAAACCGAGTAACCGAGCGGGGAATCGTCGAGCAAACACAGAAAAGTAAACGGTAAGCTGTCAAGGGATGTCACGAGTCGACCGAGATTCGCTCCGAAACGTCGACTACCGCTTCGAGTCACGTATTTTGCCATCTTTTTGCTGGGTATTCCTTTCGTTCTGGAGTCGAACGAAACCTTTGCCAGACGAGTGAAATAAAGGGACGCAAAAAGGAAGGGGAGCGGTAATCTTTCGAAATTTTATTACGAGCAATTTCTTTGATCACGGGAAACATTACGCGCACGTGCGAATGCGCGCCACTTTCGAATCGGCGAATTAATGTTAATTTTTTTAATCGTCGCGCTACTTTGCATAGCGTATACTTACGATTTACGATTACGTGAAATTTGTTCGCGCAGCGGGTTTATTTATTTCGTAATAAATTAGAAACGATGCGTGAACGTTATCGATGCCTTCTACCAATTTATCGGTTTTCACTGGGCTCGTTAAAAGAGTTTCAGTTTTCGGAGCTCTAAATTTCGTAGCGGGAAGATCTTCTCTGGGGGAGGGGACCTCCCGAGTCGAGTCTGGTGCCGCCATCTAGGTAACTTGGTCGAAAGCGACGGGCTCGTTTCTCGAGGGGGATGAAAAACGCGATTGCTTCCTAATCGCGCGACGCGTGCGTAAAGAAAACGTAACGGCAAACGGTATCCAACGAAGCGAGACGCGAGTTAATTAGCTGGACGAATAAATAATAATTAGCGAAGAACGAGAAACGGAAAGGAAGGCGAACGGTGGGAGAGAAATCCGGTAAAAAAGTTTCGAAAAAGCTCGGTCACACCCTCGACCTCCTGCCATCGAACAATATTTCACGATATCTTCTGGGATTCTCTAAGGCCTGCGAAGACCCCCTATGGGCCTCTGGCTACATGAAAACGTATACGTCACTGACGCACTGTTCGCGGCGATTCTGATGGATCCTGGGATATTCGATGGGAACAAAAGAATGTTGGTTTAGCATGGAAGGCGTGTTTGTTATTTTGATGAGGTATAATGGGATGGATCTTGGGTGTTGATGCATAGCGCGTAGCAGGGTGCCGAGTCCAGAATCCCGTGGATCCAAATGGAGATCGGTACGGGCCCCGTAGGCTCCTTCGAGACCCCTGTAGACAGGGGCCGCAACACGTCCATCACGTGTCACGGTTATGTATTTAGACATATCTCACTACTATCTCCCATATCCTTCTTCCTCCCTCTCTCTTTCTCTCTTCGCCATCCCGTTCGACTCTGACCTTTCGTTTATCATTTTTCTTTCTCCCTTCTGCGATCCTCGTATTCGTCTTCACTTGCTACCAGCTTACAGTTGCCTCCTTTATCCTGCCTCGTACTCCTTCGGATCGTAACAACGGGCCATTAGGAAAATATCCTTGTTTCGTCTTTCAACAATTTCGAGCTGCGTTTCGCTTTTCCCCCGACTCTTCGTAGCAGCGTGTCGCGGTAAGTGGAGCACGCTCCTAAAGAGGAGGAACGTTCGATGCGTCGGTAAATCAATCTTTCGACGATACCCCCTTTCGATCTTCGTCGATCGACGCTTTCGCCGAACGAGATTACTCGATCGATCTTGCAACTCTTTCGAATTCGAACGAATTTTTTGTCGATTTTCTTTCGTTCTACGTTTCCTTCGTCGCTATCGCCGTCTACTATATTTCAACGTTAATTTCCAAGATGTTGATACGTGTCCCGACATCGACGTCGCGCGCACTTCGTACACTCGTCATCGTCGTAATCGTTACGGTCCCGCGTTCAATTTCCTCCCCGGTTTTCTTCTTCATTTTTTATGATCCTCTTGCTTCCGCTGCCCCTTCGAACCGGCCGTTTAACCGTCTTTCTTTTATCCCGAATAATCACGCGCACGACACAATCACTGTCTCGATTGCGGCTCATTAATATTGCCTGCCGCGTGTAGAGCCGGTAGTCCTGGCTATCCGCGCCGCTCGAGTACCTCTCTGTCGCGTCGATTCAATTTTTTATCGCGCCAAAGTGGGAGCCTGTTTCGAACCGGTATCCTGCCGTTTCTGTCCGTTTCCGACGTTTGCTTTAAAAGCTCTCGGTATCGATCCCGCAGGAAATCAAAGTCGAGACTTTCGAACAAATCGTACACCGTTCCTATCGATCATCGATCTTTTTATTGCGTACAAAATAGCTAGAACAAGTATTAAAAATAGAGAACATTTTATGGAAGACCTACGAACACATGTTTGCGTCGAACGATTATTCGTCCTTTGCTCTTTCTTTTTTCTTCGTCCTCTCGTTTGACAAATTGACGCGTTCGCTACCAGAGCGCATACCAAGCGACTTTCGTTTTTAATAAAATACAGGATAAAATAATTGAATTTCTGATCATGCACCTCGTTTGTAACCGTCACGCTACTCTTTTTATACGATACGACAGTTTCAAACGAGTTTCATTTATTTCGAAGCGTATAAAATGAAAAATCATGGGCGTCGCGCTCGCGTGACGAGGATTTTTCATAAGAAATCGAAAGGACACTTATACAGGATGCTTCAAACAAGCTGCACACCGTGAAAATTGCGAGCATGGATTCTGTGTCGTTCAGTTTCCAAGATGCCCGCTGCAGGATTTCCCTATGCAACGCTAGTACCGAACGCGTTCTTCTAATTTCCTACGCGATCATTCGCCGTTTGCGGTAGGTTTAGCCGGTTTCACCATAAAATTGATAAAACCATCGACGTCTTCGAGCTCCTTCGAATAGAACTTTGCGGCAATAGTGGCGCGTCCCTCGAATTTCGGTACCATAGAGAAGGAACATTCCGCGTCGGCCTCGACCTCCACCGATTCCGACAGCTTGATCTTCAACTGCTCGTCCAAACCTGGCCCTTCGATTAAAAATCTGCATTTCTTCAGCGGGATCGGTAACGGATTTCTAAACTTCGCAGTCGCGTTCAATGTTTCGCCAACCACAGGTTCGTTCTCCAACTACCAACAAAAAACAAACATAAGATCGATCCTTGTTCGATCTCGAATGAACGAGGAGCACGCGATATACGTACCATGATCTTGATGTCAGGCTTTCTCACGCGAAAATCGTCTTGCGCGAAGTACTCGAAATTGGTATCTTTGACGGTTGCCAAACAAGCGATATTGAAAGCGCATTGATTCATCAATCGAGGCCCGTATTCTTCCCAGGAAAGATCCATGCGCACTTCTTCGAGAACTCCAGGTCTCACCAATCGATCGACCTTCGATCTCTTTACGGGATCGCCGACTCTACCCGTGTATAGAACAGTCTCCACTCTCAAGATCACCGACACTCTGTATTCGTTGTAACTGCTTCTGTTTTTAATTAGCAGCACCACGCTGTAAAGAGAAAACGCGGTTCGAAAAAGTCGTTTAAAGGTACACTCGGAGGGAAAAGCACGGAAACCACCTGAAGGGTTGTCCTATTATTATGTCGTCGCGTAGCTCGAAATTGAACATGATGTCGTTGAATTCTTCGTTCAAGTAATAACGACTGAACAACGACTGGCTTTGGCGTAGCGCCTTCAACATGGCAGCTCGTTCTTCCTCGGATTCTGCGAAACGACGGAAACGAGGCGTGTCATTTTGATCGCGTTGAAAAGAAAAATTCTATTCGAAGAGGATTGTCTTACTTTCCGGGTATTTGTAGGTATGCGTGATATCTTCTCTGGCCCATCTACCGACTGCCTTCGTGCTGATGTATTGACCGATTCTGGAAGTCGAGAAACAAAGGTATATTAAACGAATATCGACTCGAAGAAACGAGAAACTCACCCGTATACGTCTTTTCGAATCAATTTTAGAGGCTGGGTTGGTCCATTGTACCGCCAAAACACTTTGTCCGCGTTCACCTCGGCGAAGAGGAAAGCGTTGTCGTAAGGTCGAAGAACCTCCCCGTTCTTCACCGAAGCCACGGAAGCAGGTCCGCATCGATAAGCGTCCTCGCTCAATTCCTGGGGTGTAGCATCGATCGCTTGCCAGCCAGGATTTTCGAGCGACAAATCCAATCGTTTCATCCAAACCTCGTTCCACACGTGGAAGTTCCTGTAACGAACGATTATGAATCAGAAACGACGGCGTCGCTACCGGATAGATCGTCCAAACACGCCCGAATGATCGGAGTGATCGAACACCACCGTGTTGATGGCGATTTAAATCTGCAACGCATTTTTGCGCTTACGCAGTGGATTTACAATCGTTACGCGTGCTCGTAATATTTCGGGTGGATCACGAATTCAACGTCCCTTACTGTTTCTGTTGCCTCTGCGATATCGTCCTATTGTTCGCGTAATAGTACGAATGACGCGATCGTGAAAAATGAAAAATTCGATGTCGCAAAGGGTATATTTACTCGGACCGTTTATTTCTTTTATGCAGGTTCCATTAACTAGTCGGGTCTCTACGTCTTGTTATCCCTACAATCTTTAGTTTCGTTCGAGCGAGCGTATAAGTACTTGCCATATCGAGTCGCTGTTCAACTCCTCCATTACTTTCCCCTCTGCATCGACGAAATAATCGACGGTCAAGCTGCTTTGAGTGTCGTGAGCGCTCGAGTAGTTGGTTACGACACGACACGGAAGTCCCAGAGTGCGGCAGACGGTAGCCAACACCCCCGAAAACACCCAACACTGTCCGTATTTTACCGGTTTCTTGGTCTTGTAATACTGCTGCAGAATCTTCTGCGAACCCAACCACTTGGTCGGTGGAGTCCCGCCTCCAAAATCGTCGGACCAATTGCCCATTACAGCCCCGTTATCGTCCGGCGAATTTACCTGTAGCACACGAATCGTTTACCGAAAACGTATAATAAAAATAATATTTGGTCAAACGGGCAGGTGAAGGTATACTCGTATGTTTGGTCGTCGAATTGGCAACTGTAACGTTCGATTCGGCGCGATAAATTATTTTCGTCGAGTACTCACGGCTGCGGACAAGATACGAGATATAACGACGGGATCGCTTCTGCCGGAGATTCGAACTTTTCCCACTTGAATCATCAGATGTAGAGCACAGTCCAATATATCTCTTTCGAACTGCGAATACTTCCAAACCGTTGGCCTCAAGCGATTATAACTTCCCCGCCATATCAAACCATCCTCCGCCATCACGTATTCTTGTCGCTGATCTTCATCCTCCATGTACACTATGTCCTCTGAAATAAATTCTCGGAAATTCTAGCGTATTCGTTACGAGAGAATAGAGGAAGAAAACGCGTGCGCCTGAATACGTGTCGATACCTGGGCACCAAGGATTGAAGATCAAATAAAACGGTTGTTTCATCGTGTAGCTGATAGCGCCGTCCAAATTTCTGTTTTTAGTGTCGATATCCATTTTCCACTTGCCTATTATGGCGTTAGCGGATGGAAGGATCTAAAATTATTCTACCGTTAACACAGCGAGCCTGTCATCGACGAAGAATTAACGAAAAATCGCTTGCCTTCAATCGAAGAAAGTTCGGTTGAATCGCGTCGATGGTGGCTTGCCAGGAACCCTCGGATACTTCTCCAGGATATAGGACAGCGGTGGCCACCAGAGTTCCGTGACCGTATTGCGGCTTCTCCACTCCATCCACCGTAAAAACTATCGACATACCGTCAATGTTCGGATCGTAGTCCCTGGATAAAGTCAAGTGCAGATAAAACTCTTGTCCCCGTCGAACGACCAGCCTCGACTTATCGTCCTGTCGAGTCATCAAATCGTATCTCGACGTCCTGTGCAAGTCTCCGTTCTCCGGTATGCATAGGTCCACGTCTATGATCGTCAACACCGGAACACCAAAGTCTTCCCCTGATACACGTATCAAATCTCGTTAGTTTCCGATGAAAGCACGATCGATGCTTTGCCTAACTCGCGGATTCCTAACTATCCGAAAACGTACGATACCAAATTTCTTATAAGTGGCAAACTGCCAAGCCATCGATGTAAATCAGCTCGAATGCAACGAGCAAAGATTCTTAATAATTTATTACGTTTCTTTTCGAAAAATTATTTTAACGCGATCTATTTTCCTTTCGCATTGTTTCTGTTACTATCGATTAGGTAAAACTCGAGTCGTTACGGAACAGTTGTCCTACAATTTTACGTTTTCTAATAGGCACCACCGACAAACATTTCGACTACCACCCTTTATAACCAGTTACGTAATTTCGACGATGGCTAAAGGATCGTTCGTAATTAATCAAACGACAGAAAATTAATCGAACGATAGAAAGGGGGTGAATCGAGAATAAGCTGATCGAGGAAAGGTACGAGAGACAAGGAAGAACACTCACAATAAAATCGGTACGGAAACGGCCTGAATCGGCGATCGTCGAAAGACCGGTAACGATCGTAAAATCTATAAAACATCCTTCGAGGATTTGGAGAACCGAGCTCGTCCCTCGAAAACGAACGGAATACTGAATCCATCGGCGTCGTTCCCACCAAAGTCTTTTGATTCCTAGGAGTTCCGTGAAATCACTGAGCTATCGATGACGCTCCTCGTCGATCAAGAGGAAGGAACACGCCACTGGACGGGACGCGACGGGAAGAAACGCGACGCGACGCACGGCGTCGAGTGGGTTGCTGCATTCTAGGAGAACCATCAAGGATCTTTCTATATCGACGAGCGCGGCCATACATGGTGTCATCGATGACTCCGATTGCCAGTAGGAGTCACCTACTTTTCATTCTGTCAATTACACGTCGTAATTTACGCACAATCGTCGATCATTACTTTCCTGAATTCCACGAAAGAACGACACCCGATGACATCCGTCGAAGGTGTACCCGCCGGAAGTTGCGGACTACCGGTGAGTCGCGCGTCTTGGAAAGTCGGTCGGAAGAAGGTCGAGGAAAAGCCGTAAATCGAAACGCTGACACGTTCGCCGACTTTGGAAAAGATAATTGCTCGATTTCCATATTGTCGTTTCGCATTGACGAGTATAGATCGAAGCAATTAGCTTCTCAAGACTTCGCAAGATTTTTTCTCGTTACTTAATTCTCCTAAGAATCTGATGAAAGGCGACTGACAGGATCGTGTCCATCTACGACTCGAACCTTGACCGAGGAAACTCGTGTCGTTCTAATGAACTCGTTTAGCGTTTCGTCGTCGAACGAAGGGTACCAGAAACGAGGACTCGCTCGCATTGACCGTCACCCGATTCTCTCTGTATGTCTTTGATTGCCAACGCGCCGTAACGCGTATTTCAGCGATTCACCTTCGACGAGGAAACGAGCAAAAACGTATGCACGGAACAAACGGACCGCGTTTCCGCGAATACTCGTAAATAACGTGCCAACGACAGAATAGATGAACGACGAATGTCTAGGTCAATCTTTCGCGACACGCGTTTAACGCGCTCAACCGAGTTAACTCGAGTTAGACAAAATTCAATTTCCCTTCTTGTAAATTCGTGCGAACTTGAATTTTCTCCGATGTTTTCGTTAACGTTACTTCGCGAAAATTCGACCGCTTTCCGAAACTGCGAAGACGAAGATAGAAACGAAGAAATATCTCAACCCTTGCGTTGCGCGTGAAAAGCGCAACGTCGAGCGTCATCGATCGTTACGGATAATCTGCATTCTAGAACGATGCTGTGTACTTTTGCTCGGATATATATAGCCAAGTGGCTGGCGTTGTTATTTTTAATCGAAAACAATACCGACAACCGCGTATGCGTTTAAGTATCTCGGAACTTCTCGTGGCTTACCGACTAGCTAAAATAGCATCGGTTTCCCGCGAAACCGGTCCAAGTAATCGAATGACGACCACAACGTAGAAGTGCTTCGTAATTCGATCGTTCGCTGCGATATTTATTACGTAATCGTTTGTTGCCGGTTATTACGCGATTAATTGCTAATTGATTCGGCCGCGTATCGCGTACGAGCGCGTTAACGCATTAGGTATTATCAAAAGCAGAAGGTGAATACCGCGACGGGGAATCTTCGATCATCAAACTTTCTCAGCGTGAAAACCGTCGAAGATTAAACGGCGAAGCGATAAATCTTACGTCCGCGTTCCTCGCCTATCCGCGATTAATCGATGTCGGGCGTTCGCGACTTTGACGTAACTTTTTACGTCATCGTTATTTGTCCCGAGTTGGTTTACCGCGTATCGCGTACCGATTGTGCTTTGCAAATTACAACGATTTCTACGAACATTTTGAAACGCCGTGTACGCGTTTCGTAGGTGTGAATCACGATTAATCTAAAACCGCGGTACAAAGGTTGTAACGCGATACGAGATAATTTCGTTCTCGGCCGTACATTTTCAGAGGATACGTGCATCTCCTGGTTGACTTTGTAATCGAATACAAAGACCTCGCGAATAACGATAACGCGCGAAGACAGTTGTTAACGACGTAACGAGGAAATCGGTCGAAGAAAGGGGAAGTCCCGTTGGCGACAGGAACGCGCGTAACGCACGGTAATTAGACGAAGGTCTGTGTTACGACTTTCACGGAGCGGCCACAATTATGCCGGCAAAACGGCGAGTTATCTTTTCTATGCAGCAGTTATTTTTTTGTCCGCGTTACTCGACTGGCAATAGCCGTATAAAATTAGCATTCTCGTTATCGAGCGCAGCATTGTTGCATCCTCGAATGCGAAACGACAGAGACGAACGTTTTGAAGAAATCTTGGAACTCCTCGAGATGCTTATCCTGTAATAAATTATACTCTTCGGACGTTAATCAAGCTTTATCCGTGCTTAAACATTAACACGCAACATCCTTCCGATCCGAAAGCGACGACGTTGCAAGATTACTAATTCTTTATTGTTCTTTTTCTTCTATTGTCATCTTGGAAATTTATGCATTCCGACAACTAACACCGCGATGCGCGGTTTCTATAGTCGTACGTTTAATTGCGGTTCTTTTATCAAATCGCGTTAAACTTTCCCGTGTCGAAATTGATTATTTATCGGCGAAGTCGCAACAAGAATATAAACTACGTCTCGTTACGAAATTAGTTGACTGATAGCGAAAAGATGGAGACGAAAAGAATCGCGAGGATGAATCATGAGAAGGTTGCTCCATTTTCGGTCAGCGTAATTCGTCGTGTTCGGAAGGAGCTACGATAATGAGCGAGCGCGCATAATTAAAGGTGATGTCACCTTTAAATGGTCAGAGTGTCGCCCGCATAAACTTACTTTCGTTGGTGGCGATGTTCGCGCCTGGATCGTGTTTTGCAAACGATCGTTAAATCTAAAAGTATCGACAACGATCGTGGAGTACGCGTTCAAAAGGTTTAACGTAAAAAAAAAAAGAAACGAGAGTGGAACGCGAACCGATTCGAAAGGGTTTCTCGCGAAAGAAGCGAAAACTGAAATTTACCATCTGGCGGAAAGTTTATTTTCTCTGATGAAAACACTAGCGACCGAGTCTTCGAGCAACGAACACGGATTTTTGTTTGCTTGCTAATTCCCGGCGGAACTCGTTCCTTAAACCATCGAGAAACATTGTTTTCCGAAATTTCTCGTAAATTTTCGAGACGACTTTGGTCCGAAGCGAAACACGACGAAATTCGAAAACGCCGTTCGCGCGAGTACAGTTATTTCCAAGAAGCAAATGGCACGCGTGTAAATGAATGAAAGTGATATATTTATACGGAAACACGGTGACATCATCGGCAAGAAGGACACGATGCAAGGTTTCGCATAGCTCCGAACAAATCGAAAACACGTTTCTAGCTCGTCAAAGTATCGGAAGAGGGGTACTCGATCCGCTAGCACGTGGTCTCTTAAAATAGGCTTTAGTATGCAACCGGAAAAACAACTGTTCGTACCAAACGCTGGAAACTTTGAAGATCGTATTCACGGCCAGTTAGCCGTAATAACGTTGAAATAGAAGCACGATAAAGCACTGCGTTTTGCTTACATCGAATTAAGTGCCTCCGTGTATCCGAAACGTTAACTAGAATCATTACGCGGAGACCAATTCTATCCACTGAATCATGGAAGCTCTGGTTTTCGAGAAATTTATTTAGAGAAGAAGAAAGAAATACGATTGCAGACCGGCTATGACCTCCCGTTTCGATGATATAATTTCAATAATGACATCGTTCACCACCCACGCACCGATTCGGTGCCATTCTTTTCCGACACGTGCCACTGCTACGCGCCCTCTGATATCATTTATCCGACAGTACGAGCAATTAACCCCTCTCGAGCACGGGTCACATGCGCCATCAATGGACGCGAAAGGGCGAGACAAGAGAAAATTAACTTATGCCAGCGGGAAATAAAAAGTAGCTATACCATGATTTACGAGTCGAAGGTATACGACTGGTGTTACGCGGCCGGCTGTAAAGAATGTTCGCGCGCACGCGGCCTTTTGGATCGAGACTGTATACTTTCATCGTCAAACACGTACCTACCTATATGTACAAACGTTCTCGAAAGACTAACTATCGAATCGCGATGCAACCAGCATTTTTTCTATCAGTCTCTATTAAACTCATAATTATTTGTCGAGTTGCAATCTACAGTTATCGCGCTGAAAAAACGTCATGATAAAAGGGACAACGTTGACCCTTCGTTTACGAAAGCTGATCGTCTTTCGTAGATATGTTAAGGAGATTTAATCGGATGTTTGAACGACGCTCGAAATCGAAGAGAAATTAAATATCGCGTTTTAACGCTTACAGGTGTTGTTCTACTTACCAGAATTAGGCGATGCAGGTGGTGGCCGTGGAAGGCACTCTGGTTTGGTGCATAACGGCTTCAGCGGACTGTCAGTTACAGTCTCCGGTCGGAAGATTGCACTGAATCTTGAGAAACACGAACAACACTTGCAAAATTTGCCCATTTTCTTTCAATTCCATACGAGCGCGACAAAATTTTCTATTTTTCCGTCCCTTTTCCGCTGTGTCAACGTTTTTATTCTATTTCAAAAGCATCAACAGTTCAAACGTTTTGAGTTCGATTTCGTCTCGTGCCGATTCATCAAATAAACGTGCTTGCTTCGAATCGTGGAAGAGAATCCTGGAGCAACAATTATTCGATCAAGGGCATCTAGTACAATTAAACTAATCGATCGAATGTCACGCAAAAAAAGGGATAATTTTATCGTTCACGGAAGCGTATCTGAATTCACAACAAATTCTTTTTAATAATTCCTTCAAATTTGTAACAACGTTACAACGATGGTTGTAAAATGACGAGTTTCCGATAAATCTTAAATATACATAGTTTCAACGAATTTGAAAAGTTACTAAAAACTTGTATGAAAGGTAAACAGATGATACCACGTCACATTTTAAGCGCGATCGCGATCCGATAGAGACGACACGTTGCGTCGATCTGCTCGAAAGTAGATGAGCGACTGTCAGAGAATTAGCTGGCATCGAGAATGATGCAAACTACAAGATCTCCCCGCAGCCTTCGGTCAATTTTTAGGTGGTCGCTAATGGTATCGGCGAATTCACCTTCCTACACAGGCATTCCATTGTTTGCCTCTTTCTCTCCAGCCTAATCCTCTCCATCTAATGATCAAAAGATTCTCAATGATGCCACTATGTTTTATAATAGCGTATGTTTTAAACGCGTTGCAATTTTACGAAGAGAAGTATGAAATACGTGCAATAAATAAAACATGATGGAATGGGTTGCGAGAATTTTCTAATCTTTCATAAAAATAGTTTTTGAATCATTTGCACGATGAAAATTTTCATCCGAATTGAACTTTAACACTTATTATCGCGAAGAACGAATCATTTAAAGCAAGCGTAGTAGTACTTCCACGAATATTTCGAACGGGATGTCTATGTTTAAAAAGGAATATCGTTACTCATATGTTTCACAGAAATGGATCATGGTAATATTCAGAAATATACATGTATGGATTTCTTCTGTGGCATACCATTTACAACTATCGTCATTCGGTAATCTTCGGTATCTCTACATTTTATTTCACGTACGTTATACAAAATTATATTTAAAATTAAGTATTTTTTAAAGCGCATAAAATACTATTTGACATAAGTTAAAATGTTAGCTCAAATCAAATTGCGTTTCATCATAGCTGGAACTACTCTGTTGGTTCCTGTTATCTTCTATTTTAACAATGGTTTTCATTAGATCATCTACGACCACGTACAAGTATGTGTACACATAATTGTTAGATTCGTTCTGTAAATAAATTTGACGTATCAATTTTGTGCAAAACCAAATAAACATCTATGAGAAAGAATGAGAGTCTTACTTCCTGTACTTCTAAGTTTACAGTACCCCGCCTCCTTATGCCTTGAATATAAAACTTCATTCTCATGTGTTTTACTCCATCCTTTTCAAAGATTACATACCTGTAAAATTAGATACAGTTTATTAGAAACGAACAAAAAGGTTAAGATGAAAATTTGTAAAGAGGGAATTTACTCTTACTTTATGGGACTTCTACGTCCAAGCTGTCTGTGTTCTCTGAACGCTTTGATAGGCTCTCCAAGAGCATCGATTATTTTAGGATGTTTGATACAGTCCTCTAACGCTTTACTGTATATGTTGTTTGGACTTTTACTGGAAAATAATTCGTTAAAAATCATGTAAAACATGAAAGCCGTGATTCCTACTCCGCCAACGATTACAGCTAGATATCCAGCTGATTTGGTGTTTTCTTTAACTGGAACGACAAAGAATATTCAGAGAGGCAAAAAACTAAGTTGTTTGTGTAAATACTTTTATGTATAAATATGAAATTTACCTACTTCCGCAAATCCCACTTGAATCTTATTTTCATGTTCAAGGGTATCGACTTTTGCAATTGTCTTTTTGGTGCAGTACGACGCGTTTTGCCGAAAACCAGATGTTACATTATAATAAGAAAAAACGCAAGTTTTTCTTAGACTAGATATTGCTGCGAATCTTTTGTATGAAATATAAGGGATTACTCTTGCTGGAGCCATTTTCTAAAACGTCGATAAATGTAGCATACACGAAAAAAATACGAAAATTGATGACTGTTTCGAAAAAGCGGAAGACCTCATCTCGATGAACTAATATAAAACGATCAATTAAAATAACATAAAAACACAAATTTAATGTGTATTATCGCATAAACAATATTAAAAACACTTCATATGTTACGAAACGACTGTATTAGTATTCTTAAAGTAAAAAAAAATATTGGAAAAATTATACTACCATATTCTCGAAATGTTCATCAATAAATATTTCTTCCCTTCTTAACTTTTACGTACCTATTTAAATACGCACAAAAGAAAATTATTTCATTTACAAAAAGTATATACTATTTCGAAAGTTCAATAATTATATTTGAAAGTAATATCAATTCAAACGAGACTCCGACAATTCTTAATCATGTTTGGTTACTTCATGAGCTATTTGAGAGACTAAGTAAAGTTAGGTTAGGAAGCATTAAAAACAAACGGAACATAACCTTTCATATATATCGACGGCAGTGATCAGAGTGGTTACTATTACAAAAGTGATTGTCAAGGAATATATTAATCAGCATCAAAATAAAGGAAAAATAAAGCAATAATTCTTAATGAAGACTGCTCCACATCAAAGGTTGGTCATGGTTGGCGATCGCGATGGGCAAGTATTTTTTGCATATCTTTTTATTTACATATTATCATTAGTCTTTCAAATTTGAAACATTTAGATTAATATCACATTATAAATAATCGCTTTCACGCATTATTAATTATATTGAATTTTATATTTAATTTGAAAAATTACAAATTATGATTCGTCTTATTATTATTTTATTTAGATTGAAAGAGTTATTACGTCGTCGATTAGTTGAATGTGGTTGGAGAGATCAAGTGAAATTAATCTGCAAAGATTTGATAAAAGAACATGGTCATGAAATTACTTACGACAAATTGCTTTCAATGGTTACGAGTAAAGCAAGGACTCTTGTACCAGACTCTGTTAAGAAGGAACTTTTACAAAAAATAAAGAATCAGCTAATTGCTCAAGAAGAAAAATTAAAAATGTGACGATTTAAAAGTTTCTACTCTTAAACTTTTATTTTGCACAAAGGATATCTTTCGACAAGACTGTATACAAAAACCATGATATGTCGCTTTAATATCTGTTACGTATTCCTATGTACCATTATAAATATCGTTAATTGATAAACTTATGCTAAAATTACATTATAAATAAATTATATTTACATAGATTAATACAAATGCTTTGGTTACTTAATTATAAATATATATTTATTTTTACGTAAATTTCACCATTTATTTAACAGCAGTTCAAGCTTGAACGAAACAAATAAATAATCATATTGTTCTAAAGATGATTAGAACAATCAATATCGCGCAAAGAATTGTTTTTATCACTTTTATTTAGATACTGTTTAAACACTATCGACATTAAAATAAGTTAATGATTTGCCGCCAGAAGGCGATACATGAGCCTTTACAGAAGAGTTTTACGTCCGAGTTCAAAGAGCTTGTATAGTTATATCTTATTGTCAATAGTTTTTAATTTGTAATTTTACAGTAATTGTTTAAATTATTTTTTAACACGTAAACAATGTTGATCAAAGTGAAGGTAAGAACACTAACCGGCGAAGATGGAGTTACGACATTTATAACTAGTTCTGAAATAGATTCTCTAACCTTGTTTCAGACTCTTACCGGAAAGGAGGCAAGTAACTGCAAATTAATGTTATATATTTTTAATACGATTCAGAGAGGGTAAAACGTGTAAAATAACGTTTACCGATATATACGTAGACGTATAAATAAAAGGGTAAAAGGTTGTACGAACGAAATAACCTCATCTCACAACGACGCGTTGCCGCATGAGAGAGTAAAACTTGACATTTGATGTACTGTTAACAACCTGTTTTGATAGATTGTAATTTGTCCGATGCAATCAGTATTTGTATTTCTTCGTGTTTATATAATATTATTTGTTATCGCATCATATAAACATCTCATTATACGATCAGTGACTTAAGTTCAGAAACAATTATAAATATCGTTATTCTCATAGATTGAAATAGATATAGAACCTACAGATAAAGTAGAACGGATCAAGGAAAGAGTGGAAGAGAAGGAAGGAATACCGCCTCAGCAACAACGATTAATATTTTCTGGGAAACAAATGTAGGTATTATAATTGTTTATAGAAATAATTTATGCAATTACGTAAGAAGATCGTTCGTTGTAAAGAAAATTAGTTTTATGACATTTCATTTCACGTCGCCTTTAACATGAAATTCCTTGAAACAAGGGGTGACACACAATCCTACGTTACAGTAAGAACAGTAGTAGCGAGATTCCTTTCGCAATCCTTTAGACGCGCAAACTTTACATCTTCTTGTAGCGTTTGATTTCTTGGCCGTTGACGGAACATATTCTGGAAAGTGATTTTCTGTAGTCCTTACTGGAACCAATTCGCACGGTTGCCTCTGCCTCCTTGTTCCTGTTCCATCAATTACGACGTTTCAGTATTATTTTCTCTCGTCTTCTTTTTGTCACGTGCAGATTGTATTTACATAAAAGTGAACGTAGCTTAAGTTAAGCATATAGTTGCGTGTTTGAAATTAATTTACAAATGTAAGCCATGTTTTAGAAACAAACAAAAATGTGTTTGGTGTTTTCTAGGAATGATGAGAAAACAGCGCAAGATTATAAGGTTCAAGGTGGATCAGTGTTGCATTTGGTACTCGCATTAAGGGGGGGCTTGTAATTATAACATTCTTCGATCCGGAATGTATGTATGTGTGAATATTAAGGAATGTACAAGATCAATCACAGAAATAATAGGACGCTTTCCAATGTTACATGCGCGCTGCGTTTAGAATTCAAATAAATATTTAATAAAATAATTCAATTATAGAGACCTGGTCTTGCTTCACTGATAAACCGAGCATTATTCATTACTGATTTTAAAATTGTTCCAGAGAAGTTCGAATGATAGTAAATATGTAACGGCGTCGTGCGTCTAATTTCACGAAGAATTCGCAATCTCGATTGAAGCGAGAGACCCGATCCGAATTTAAACCGAACGTCTCAGTATCTATAAATCGTTGTCAAACACCTCTTATTTTCCTCTTTCAATGTAACGTGTCATAGAAGAGATTGTTCCTTTGTAAACCTTACACCGCACTTATCTGCGTTTTTACTTCGTTCGACTTTATAAATTCATGTCTACACGTTAATATGTTCAATAGTGACAGTTATGCGTTCTTTTGCATTCGAAAAAAATGTTTTGCGATTGTTTTCCTAACGAGAGAATTTAATAATCTTCTAAGCGCGTTACCATCATTCTATCGAAAAAAAATGTACTCGAATCGAACAGAAATAATTAAAGTTAATAATGTTAGCGCGTACTTGTGTTATTTGCTTGTATGTACAAATTTTGACTACAAATTCCTCGAACTTGTACGAAGATAATCTTGAGATTCTTGGAAGAACGCGTATTCTTCAAAGTTAAATCGTTTCTTTAATCGATGCAAATTGATTTCCAAGAATCCTAGAGAAATTCTTATATCAAATTGCAAGGTAAGGATATGCTCGCGCACCGCACAGATATCGCGCACTTTCAGTCTCGTTGCGAGTACGTATTACGAACGCAATTGAATCGTAGTTAAAAAAACCCTTTAAATTAAGTAATATTATTGCGTACATGTAATTTTCTATCGATCGTTCCACCTAAAATATTGTTCTCTCGTTAGAAATATCAACACCGATGATTCCATTGTAAATCGATTTATTTACATTGCTGTAATAACATTTCAAAGCATACTTTAATGTCGCTTTAAACTCGTTTACAAGCTCACAATTAATTACATATACATAAACACGTTTTTGAATTGCTGACGAAAAGTTTGACGATCGCTATCGAGCATACGTATCTCTACGATCACTTTGTATTCCTAGATACGTGGTGCGTTTCGCATTCGCGTACAATTATAATTACACGTTTACGAAATAAACATTTCATTCGAGACATAATAGCTACGCGTATCGTTTCTTCGCGAAACCTACTGGCCTGTGAAACATTGTTTATTGAAATAACTCATCGTATTCTCATAAATGCTTTATTCGTTTTTTTTTCCCTTTTTATTCGTTTTTTCTTTTTCTTTTTTTTTTCTTTTAATATCGTTTAATCGGTGATGATAAAACCGGATGTAGTAAATCTATCGTGCGATATACCATACAAATTCACACGTTCGTTCTAATATCTTACCGACTAAAAGACAGAAACGCATCGCAACGAAATGAAGTACATGTTTCGCTTAATTTTTAAGTAAACGCATTTGATCCGATCGTTTGCTTTTTTCTTCTTCTTTCCTTGAAGCTTCGTGCGATTCTCAACAGCGAGCAACTACGTACAAACTATGTGTAACTACGAATCAAGTGCATCTTTATTGTGCATAAACGCGTTCATTCGTTTCGAAATTGTGTAATTTGAAATTGATCGATTGAAACGAAATACATATACATATTTGTTCGGATGCGCAGCAGTAAAATTTCGTTCATCGAAACGAAGAAGGTACGTATTATTCGTATTGCTTAGAAAGTAAAAATTGTATCGATTAATTTGTTTCTTCGAATTTGTTGTTTCGATCGTAAATCGCTGTGTCGCATTAAACTTCATTGTACAGGTATTCTTAAAACATTATCGATTAATTTGCCGTTTGCTTAACAATAATTATCTTTTCAGACACTTTCTTAAATACAATCTATTTACTGAGATTACGTAGAATTTATAGTCCTTATAGAGTACGATTCTCGAACAATGTTGATTACTGGCGTCCAATTAATTAGTAATAAAACGATACACAATGCACAGTATGTAAACTTTTCTTTCGTTTCATTAATCAATCGCAACCGTAACAGTACGGGGCGAGAGTTATTATTAAACTCGTACTTGATCGTTTCGCGGAGTACGCGTTAACGCAATTTTTGAAGCTTCGCTCGGTTTCGATTCAACAGCGTGAAACGAAACGTTCGCACGAGTTTTGACAACGACAATAACGTATACGCGATCGACTGTTCCTCGTTTCTGTTAATCGTGAAAAAATATCAACGACGAGGAACGATACACGGATAAAAATCACTTTTCCGTGAAAAGTCGATAAACGAATCGGAGCACGGTACATGATCCCAAACCGTATCGACCGAACATCTACTTGTCCTGTGCACGATCGTAAGTTGTCTTTAGATTTGTACAGAGACAATGTTTACACGAAGCCACCGGCAAAAGGAATAAAAAAAACTGTTGGTTCTCTTTATACTCTCTTATAGTCTTTGTCAACTGTGGTAAACATCTGGAAAAGTTAATATGTAAACTGTAAAACTATATGTATAGATAGTTGTCTGTAAGGCACTGTCTATGCGTTCCATCGAAGTAGCTAAGATTCATCTTGATCGCAACGAAAAAATCGAGCACGCGAACAACAGGCGTGTAAACAGAGTCAGTGTAACCAGTGAACGTACTCTCTCTCGGAGCTTTTATTTTTTATTCGATTCGAACCGTTCACAATCATTCGATTTTATCGTCGCTAGTTATTCGCCTCGAAACACTGCGATTCCTTTATATAGTGATATGAAACATGCAACGCAATCGTAACGATGGTACAACCGGATAGATTCCTCGTGAAACACTGAACAAAACTCGATGAACGACAGTATGTCGGTTGAAATTGGGAGTTCTACTCGAAGATCAATGAATTCGAAACCAAGTAAACTTTTCTCGAGTTAAGATTCGAATAAATAAATAGATACGAATAAAGTGTAGAGAGCGCTCGAAGGTGAAACGTTATCCATTTATTTGTTAATAATCGCGTCAACTGTCGATAGGTTATCGATTGAACTTCTAGGTAAGGGCATTATAAAAATTACTTCCGCTCTTACTACGTATCGAGTCTGCTCTTTCTCGCGAAGAATCTAATTTCATCTCGAATGTACCATGATTACGGTGAAACTCTCCATAATTTGCATCCCATACGTTCGATTACCTGTCAATTAATACATAAATATAAGTTCGCGGCTGATCGATATCAACAGCATCATCGTCGATCTCCTCCGATGGTTTCTGCGAACGCAACACGGTCTTCGATGATTCGAACGGTAACGTTTGGACGCGTAACAGAGGATATTCATGAAACGATCGATGCAATATTAACGGTACAACAACGGCAACGGACGAGACACGTTTAACGACCACTTAAAAAGTATCGTACAGCAATGACTAGAATCCTTACACAGAGAGGAGAGCTTTATTCGTTTCGCAGCGTCGAATGTCGGAACAAGAATAAAAAAGCAAAATCTTTTCGATTACTCGCCACGATATTCGGAGCAACGCGACGACGAGAAACGAAAATCAATCAGCGCGTTCTCTTAATCGAGTTACGAAACTAAAAGTAAAGTTGATCGTTTGTTGCTAGTGACACGATTCTTGTTTCTCGATGGAAGAGTACGTGTTTCCCTCTTGCTACGGAAACTATAGCGTAATCGTTACGGGGAACATCTAAGAGATCTGATATTATACACTGGCAACGAATTTGAGATCGAAAATGATAATAATAAATTAAGTCCCATGTTACTGTCCACGGAGTCGCTTAAAACCCTTAACGCGTTGCGCCCAAAGGCCGTATATCTACTACTGTGAGACGAACCGTAGGTACGAACGAGCTTATTCACGAGTCTACTCGCTGAATTGCGTGCTTTAAAAGTCGTTAAAAGTCGCGCGAATAAAGTTAGCGTATTACGAACAACGCAGATCGTTGAATTTTTCTCTCGGCTCTAATACTGTATGTATACGCGATGAACGAGCGTTAATCGGTTCGTCTCTCGGTCTGTACAAAGTGTATCAAACGCTGTGTCGATGTTTTAAGTAGATCGATGATGGCTCGGTGAAAGCGCACTTACCAAACGGGAAAGAAGACTGACATCGGTAAACTGCTAAATAGCGAACGCGAAAAGGAAGGAATAAAATAAACGTTTACGATGTAACGGGGAGGGAGAAAGTTGAAAGATAACGAAGATAAAAAAAACAAAAATGTACGGGAGTGAAAAAGATCGAACGGTCCTTCCGATTCGACCGAAAAAATACTTTACAAGAAAGAGAAAAAGAATAAAAAATGAAAAAAAAAGTGGGAGGAAATCAGAGCGGAGCGAGAAGCAACGTTTCTCTCGGCGCGATAAAGAATCTCTATGAGTCCAATTCGTTTTTCGAGCTGCGCTGTTTCTGGATCGTTTTTTGCCATTGCATGTTATGTTTCAAACGCATGTGACGTCGCAGGTCGGTTCTACGACTGAGAGTGGTGTGACATAGGATGCAGGTTGTCTGGTTGCGATGCACTTCGAGGTGCTGGGTCAGCGAAGCAAGGTGCTTGTAAACGCTTCCGCAGAGTCTGCACGAAAAACGCCCTGGACCCTGCATCACCACTTGACCAGTTGTATCGCCAACATGCTTCCGATTGCGTCCCACCCCCCCTGCAACACATTAACACAGCCACGTGACCCGCCGATTCCTCATTCAGTGTTTCTTTTCTAGTCAATCAGTTTCATACATTCAATCGGATCTTTAGGGGGACAGTAACACGTAACATAGACTACGATAATTATCTCTCTAAGTGATAAGGTTTCTATAGTCTTGGCAAGCGAGAGCGAAGGCTAAAGGCGAAAGACAGAATCAGTAGGAGGGGATGAACATAATCTATGCAACTAAAAAAATATTGGTCACAGACGATCAAGGCAGCTTTCGAACACGAACCTAGGAATAAAAAGGACAGGGCACAAAGTCTCGTCTCAAACGAGAAGTCGGTCTCTCCGAGTCTATCGGAAGTTTTGGTTCAAGTTCTGACGGACAACTCGTGATCAATGAATCAGTAAATATGTCAATTAAAATTAAAAGATTAATGATCGCTGTAAAAAACTAAAATTAAAACCGTTCAACAGTCAAACTGTCTGTGTGAATATCTTTAGCAACGCGATAATGAAATTGATCGATTAATAATCACCGATCGTCCACCATCGCATGCGCAGTATTACGTTCCTCCCTTATTGACAGGAGCTTAGGCCCCGCAGCTTTGGGCTCCATTCATATATTCTTACGTTCATGGTTTCCAACTATGCGCGCCATCTGTGACGCGTTTATCGCAGCATAACGTATGAAATGGACCGAAAACTGCCCACCATATATAGGCTGATTCTCTTACTAGTAGACTATAAAGAAAACATTGAAATTCTGCCGAAGACTGCGCGAGGCCTCGCAGACTATGTTCCTCGAACCTGAGTACTGATATACCTGTTCGGTGTTAATAGATATCACGACACGGTATTGCCCCTTGTCAAAAGACGTTTATGGGTTGAACGATATATATATATTTTTTTACGATACTTTCTTTACAGTCTACACACGATAAAATCGCCCTGTACGTATAACGTGTAACACGGTGCTTATACAGTGCTGTTCAAGGAAGGAACCCCTTATAAAGTTCAACTTCCCACCACTTTTTTCCGATCTCCATAACGCAACAAAATCAATACGCGTCGAAACGACTAAAAAATCGTGCAACAAGTGCGCATGAGCACGCGAACACAAGAAGAAATCCCCCCACGAGCACGCCGTTCGGAGACCGAACGGAAAATGAAACATAGTGGGGGGAAGGCCCACATTTATACCCTGGACTGCGCTGCCCGCGCATGCGCAATCGATGTCTCGCTCTCGCTTGACACAGCCATATCTCCTCTTTAAGTGGTAAGTCGTCATCCCCACCATTTCGCACAAGCGATGATACTTATCCCATTCGCTATAGTTATCGTTCTCGAGTCGAGTGAGCAAGGGATAGAGAACAACGTGAAACTTTAAATAGTATTTCCTTCTCTAAACGACGAAGCGCGAGTTCGAACTCGTGTCGCTTAGAGAAACAATATCGTTCGATCCTTTCTACCTGTGCTGGATGTACCCCGCTTCTTCTATCTCTACCACCATGGGTTCTCAATTTATTCGTATAAAAACCAAATGCATTAACCCATGTCGGTAACTCGGAAACGGACACAATACGAATTCGATGATTAACGATCGGTAACGCGTGAAATCGAACAATGATCCATTAAAAATTAACGTTAACTCGGTACAAGGTTTTTGTCGCTAGATTTTAACAGTTTACATTTTGATCGGGGTGAGTTGAACGTTGTTAGCGTAATTAAATTAAACGAAAATAAAAAGTATGTCGATGAAAAGCGTAAAAATGTCAAAGCACAGATAACACAACGCTTAACGAGAATGGTTACCGCTGCGAGTAATCACTCGTGACCATTTAATTGGAAGTTGGTTAGTAACTTATAATTACACGAGTTCATAAATAAATAAATTATTAACGATACGTTTGCACGAAATTGTCCGTGCACGCGAGTCTTATGACGATATCGGTTCGTAATGTATGCGTTAATTTTTAACGGAGAAGTCACGCGCGATTTGTACGTAAAAACCGATATCGAAGCACGAGAACTTTGTTCCTATCAATTTATTGACCGATACGCGGCAACTCGAATATACTTACTCGTCGAGATCGATAAATTTGAATACGGCAGCGAAATTTTGACAAGACATATTTTGATTTTGTCTTTAAAAAAAGAACTCCGTTGAATTCACATTTTGAAACTTTATTCACACATATTTTGTTTTACTTACATCGTTAATCAACTTGCATAAGCCAAACATAAGATCGTGTAATGATATATTATAATATTTTTTTATGTATATATATTTATTTATTTATATATTTATATATTTATATGTTCCTTATCTTTATAAATAATCAAAGAAAGAAATATCAATTTGTCTAAAGTAATAATTGGCATTCTTGTACTTATTTGTATTGTGGCTTCTGAGGAATGTGCACATTCGTCTTGTTTAAAATTAAACACGCGAGTCTAACGATTATAAAAAATAAACGCGTGTACGGTGTTTTGCGTTTCTCGTTTCTTAGAGAATTCACATAAAATCACGTACTATAAGCTAATATAAATTAAAAAAGGAAAAAAAAACGTATATATCGCACCTAAATATTGATTCGTGCCTCGAACAGAAATGTAGCTAGTTTCGATTTAAAAGTAACACGTCGAAGTTACCTAATGAAAGTGTAAACGTGCAAGTTGTGCGACGTATAGTGTGACAAGCACGAAATGTAACACATGCGATCGCCAAATGTATGTAACACAAGCATCGTTGATCCGCGAAAGAATATTTCTTTCTGTTCTTTTACGCGATAGAAGAAAAATTAATTTCCTGTCGATTTCTCGATAAAATGGACACGCGAATATTCTTCGTCCGAAAAAAAAATCTTGTAGCGATCGCGTACATAAAATGGTACGGAACTGCAAAAATTATCCTAAAATAATCAACGATAGCGATCAATTCTTTCGACTGGTAACTTTTCAGCTTCCGTTTCGTCGGCGTGGCAACGTAAAATCCGATTCTGTCCACGCGCGTAAAGAAACACGAATTACGTCGTAGAGTGAGTGATAAAGCATGCTACTCTCAGTAGAAAAACTCCCTACACCACTTTCTAACCGGGGGAAGACTAGGGTGCACGATACTGTACGGACGCGTGCAAAGATGGCTTCCTCGACAAGTAGTCGAGTAAAATTACCCTTCACCGCTTATCTTTCCATTTCGATAGTTTAAAAAGAAAAAAGACATCGTTGCACCCGACTGTTACTCGTGGCCTAACTCGACTGGTCGTAAAGTTACTTGCCGACATTTCTCCCTTAAACTGTCCCCTGTCCAGCGTTTCGTCAACTAGCTTCGATTTGTACTTCGAACAATTTCCGTATAAACCGCGCGTAGATCGAAACGTTGCGCCAGATTTACAACGTCCCGTGTGTCTTTGGCATACAGCAAGGATTCGCTTTCTATACGTGTTGTCGCGAGCGATATCGTTGTTAACGTATCGCCGCGCGATAGCCTCTATTCTCGATTGCACGATAAAGAAAAAAATAGACTCGAATCGGGATGTTCCCGATAATTGGCTTCTTTGGGATTTAAGATTATACGTAAAACAAGTCGCAAACGCGAAACTAAATTAAAGCTAAAGTAACGAAAAAGAAAGGAAAACTGAACGAAACGAAATCAACCAACAAACCAACAACGTAAATAAGAGATAAATGAACGAAGAAAAGCTAACGTGATAATCGACTAAAGATATCAACTGCTATATCCGCATGGAAACAGTACGAATAGAAAATAAAATTCTGTACGTATAATTACATAGATACACGCGTGTACGCGTACACGAATTGGGCAAGCTTTCGAGCTTATAACTAAAATATAAATATAAATGAGTATGTTTAATATCGTAACCGTATGCGTTATGGCAAAATTTTTAGTCCGGAAACGGACCGAGCAACTTGAAATGCGACTCTAAACGCGAAAAAAGTTTCGCTTCGGGTTCGCTTAAAGGTAAGTGTCGCTAGTTAAGGTACGATCGAAGAAAATGGCACGTTTCGAATCAAGATTGTATGTACACAGTATGATACTAGAAACCTGATATCCGTATATAGAATATAGGATATCGCGAGAGAATGCGATGTTCTTTCGAGAGAAAACGCGTTTGAAATTTTCGTCGAAGATAACAGGAAAATTGAGAAAACAGAAAGAACGATCGAATCAGTCAAAAGGATGCGACTAAGGCCGAATCGGCTTCGCAGTCTCACAGTCGATCGATCCCATTCACCGTTTCACGGCGGTGTCATCTTCGCGAGTGAACTGCCGTTCGCGATCGATCGCACGAAGAAAGATGCACATTCCTCCTTACGCTATTTTTAAGTACCGAACTCATTTGACTAGATAAAATAATTTGCCTTCTCCTTAGCCTTTCGTCCACTGCGTATGTCTTTGGTTACAAAAAGAAACATGGTTACGCACACGATCCTCCTTCTTTCTCCGTTTTTTCTCCTCGTCCTCCTCTTCTTCCTCCTGATCATTCTGCTCCTTCTTCTCCTTCTCCTCTTCTTCCGTCCACTTTTATATGCATATACACACATACATAGACGTAACGCACACGTACATGCGTGTGTACAAATGACTAGCGCGCAAAATTGTAAGACAGGCATCATTATTAATAGGTTTCCCGTCGACGACTAGAGTGAAATAGATTCTTTTTTTTTTTCATTTTATCATTAGTGCCGCGTGCAGCATTTAAGATTGCGCTTCCGTGATCGAGGAACTCCGAGACACCGACGCAACTTCTTTGGCTATTTAAGTATCCCTTCGTAACAATGGAGCCTCGTTCTTGGAAATTGCCGGCGACCGATAAAATGCGAACATTCGTCGATTCTTTTCAACGCGATTCGCGCGATAAATAAATCTAACATATACGTACGAGCAAACGAGTACATCGATTCGAAGATTAAAGGTTCCATTATAATTCTAGATTCCCACCGAGATATTCGAACTAGGGGTATCGTCTACGAGATCGCGGAGAAAA